ATTTTACTGTATTTTAGTTATCTCAGAGAAAAGTAGTTAGGAATTTTATGTTGAGGAGAATAATCTTCTACTCACCATTAAAAAACCCTATATTTCTTGTAGAAACACTTTTCTAGATAGGTCTCTTCAGGCAAGGGAAACAAGCAAAATTAAACTCCTGGTACTACATCAAAATAAAAAGCTTTTGCACAGAGAAGGAAACCATCAACAAAACTAAAAGGCAGCCTACTGAATGGGAGAAGATATTTGCAAATGATATGACTGATAAGGGTTAATATCCAAAATATATAAAGAACTTATGTAATTCAACACCAAAAAAAAAAAAAGCAATTAAAAATGGGCAGAGGACATGAATATTTCTGCAAAGACATCCAGATGGCCAACAGATACATGAAAAAAAGTTCAACATCACTCATCATCAGGGAAATGCACATCAAAACCACGATGAGATATCATCTCACACCTGTCAGAATGGCTAAAAACAAAAACACAAGAAACAGCAAGTGTTGGCAAGGATGTGGAGAGAACGCAACCCTAGTGTAGTGTTGGTGGGAATGTCAACTACTGTGGAAAACAGTATGGATGTTCCTCAAAAAACCAGAAATACAATCACCGTATGATCCAGTAATTCCACTACTGGGTATTTATCCAAAGAAAATGAAAACACCAATTTGAAAAGACACAGGCACCTCTACGTTTATTGCAGCATTATTTATAATAGCCAAGATATGGAAGCAGCTCAAGTGTACATCAACTGATGAATGGATAAAGAAGATGTGGTATATACAATGGAACATTGTTTAACCATAAAAAAGAATGAAATCTTGCCATTTCCAACAGCATGGATGAATCAAAAGGATATGATTCTAAGTGAAAGAAGTCAGAGAAACACAAATACCCTATGGTTTCACTCATACTCTGAATTTAAGAAACAAAACAAATGAACAAAGGAAAAAGACACAAACAAAAAAAAAGATGTTGGTGGTTACCAGAGGGCATGTAGTTGCGGGGATGGGTGAAATAGGTGAAGGGGACTAAGAGTACATTTATCCTGAAGAGCACTGAGAAATGTATAGAATTGTTGAATCATTACATTGTACACCTGAAACTAAAATAACACTGTATGTTAATTATACTTGAGTAAAAAAAAAAAAAAAGCCCACCTATCTAAAAAAACCCTGCATTTCTGAATTAAAATACTATTGACTCTAGATTTCCCTAATTATGCATAGCAAATAAAATACAACATGGTCTCAGAGCACTCATCACCCTTCTCTAATATCTTCTCATTCTACTCTTCTCTGGTATAGGAACCTATCTTTTGAAATAAGACTGACTATTGCATAAGAAAAGGATGCTATTATTTCTTGGAAGATGAAGTTTGGATCTATTCCAAGTTCTATGTATTACAAAGAGGAGAGAAATCAAGCATAATAACAATTAAGAAGTTTAGGGAAAAGATGTTTAAAAAATTTTTTAATGTTTGTTTATTTTTGGGAGAGAGAGAATTGTGCACAAGTGGGGGAGGGGTAGAGAGAGGAAGACTGAGGATCTGAAGCAGGCTCTGTGCTGACAGCAGAGATCCCGATGCGGGGCTCAAACCCACAAACCGTGAGATCATGACCTAAGCTGAAGTTAGATGCTCAACTGGCTGAGCCACCCAGGAGCCCCAGGGAAAAGATGCTTTTAAAGGAACAATTTATATTTAAAACCCAAAGTCTCAATACAGTATGAGATGTTAGAAAAAAGAAAATGATCAGACATGAACAAAGACTGATGCACAAGAACAGTATTTTCAGACCTGACGGGGGAAAAAATGGAGAGTCTGTCAAACAATAGGGAAATAGGTAAATAAAACACAATATAGCCATATATCAAGATATAAGGTCCTTAGGAGTTGTATTTAATGACATGGGAAGATGTTCATGTCACATACACCGTTAAATGAAGAGAGCAGAATACTTTCTTGTCTCCATTTCATAATGCACAAGTAGATTCACAGTGGATGCCTCTGGCTGTTGAAATTATGGGTAACGTTTCTTCTATAACATTTACACATTTCCCCAATTTCTATAGTAGGATTCTGCTTGCAATTACGTGGAGGGGAAAGGTTATAAAAATATTTAGGGAAACTGCTCTTCAAGTTCATTCTGCCATCCTTACCAAACCAAACTCCCCAAAGCAAAATTGTATAGTAAGAACCAATGTAGATCTACAGAAAAAATGAGCCTAATTCCCTTGCTTTCAAATAAAATTCAAGATCAGTTTGAATGCAGAATCATAGAAATGAGACTCTCACAAAACGAATAATCACTTTCTATAACAGCTCAATTCTGGTTGTTGTGAAATACCCAATGCATAAGGTTAAAATAAAAAATAATAAGATATTCTCACAATATAAAATTGGTATTTATTCTAAAGTAGGTTTTCTGTTATTGAGCATCTAATTTGTTTAAAATGAAATAGAAGAATATATATGTAGACAAAGGCTTATGATGACCCTTCCGGGCAATGAGAGTGTCCCCGTGACACTTACGAGGACTTCTAGTCTCTCCCTAGTCTCCCTAGTCTCTCTGGCCTCACTAATGCCTTGTGATTGGCTGCTGTTAATGGTCTTGCAACATGAATATGCACAACACTCCAGAGTCATTCTTCTGTAAGCATTTGTGGGCAAACACTATGCCTTTTTCATCTCTGTTCCCCAGGAGATGACATGGTTGTTTAATAGAAAATAAAGGTTCAAAAAAATATTAGAAAAGCGAAGTAACTATATGTCAAATATCATATGCATTGTTCATGCACATTATGCCTATCTTGCTCCTGTCTTTTCTATTGCACTTCCAATGAAGTTTACAACCCCTCAGCCTAATTACTCTGTACTCCTATAAATCACAAAGCTTACTTTTATCATGGTAATATATTTGTTTTGCCTCACAGTTTTGCTGAAATCTTTCTATTACCCCCACTATTCTTTTTCAAGGTATAGTAATTTTTAAAAACTCCAGTCTTAAGCTAACATCATATAATATCACTTCCTTATTCTTCCACAGTGGTTCTTACTCTTTTGAAGCAGTGGACTCATTAGGAATCTTAGGAAAGCCATGGACCCTCTGTCCAGAAAAATGCACATACATACACTTTGTGAACTAAGCACACATTTTTTATATTTCAGGGGATTCACAGACTCTCCTCAGGCCCATCTGAGGACTCTCAGGACTCTTGGTACACATGGTTTATATGCTTTAGTTCATTATTATACAAATGCTCATATGGATTTGTCACTTACCATGCTTTAAACATTATTTTAAAAAAAAATTTTTTTTTTCCAACGTTTATTTATTTTTGGGACAGAGAGAGACAGAGCATGAACGGGGGAGGGGCAGAGAGAGAGGGAGACACAGAATCGGAAACAGGCTCCAGGCTCTGAGCCATCAGCCCAGGGCCTGACGCGGGGCTCGAACTCCCGGACCGCGAGATCGTGACCTGGCTGAAGTCGGACGCTTAACCGACTGCGCCACCCAGGCGCCCCTAAACATTATTTTTAAGAGATAATACTTGCTGCCATAAAAATTAGCAATAAATTGATACAATCCATACTCTGTAGCTTTGTAACTGGAAGGTACATTCAATTATTTCAACACCTATGGAAGCCCTTCTACAACAATGAACAAGAAAGAAATGGGTCCTGCTGGCATGGAGGTCACAAGGTAACAGAAGAGCCAAGAGTTTAAGTGACTGAAGAGTTCGAGGCTGGAAGCAGAGAGGATAGTCAAAGCTGATGTGATAAACTAGACAAGAATCTTCAAAGATGACGGGCTGAGTTAGGATAGTGTTGGGCTAAAAAAGGGGGAGGTTAGAAAGATCCAGAATAAGAAACATCAACAGGAGTTGGCTGTTAAGTAGGAGTCAGAGATGATGCTGAGGTTCTGCCTTGGGCACACTGAAATGGAGGAGGTTTGAGGAGAAAACAGATGATTTCACTCATCCTGCTGCAGGCCCCAGCTAGCAGACAGCTGGATGAATGGATATGAACTCAGAGGGATCAGTGGGCAGATAGGAGCTGAAATAGCTGGAATAAAAACCATGGAAAAAAGGGTGTGGTTGCTCAGGGAGAAGTGAGCCCAGGACAGAAATCTGAAGGACCAAGCAGAGTCTGAAAGAGGCAGGAAAAAGCGATCAGAGGAGAAAACTAGGAGAGTGTGGTTCCTTTCCTGTTCAGAGGCCATTATAATCTATTTTCCTAAAGGAAATTTCTCTGAATTCTTTGGGCATCTTTAATCTTACAAATAGAAGGAAAGTTGTATGAACAAAAGTGTTTACAAACATTTTATAATATGGTCTTGCTATAAATCAAAATTAATGTGTGTTTATAGTACACATTAAACAATATTAAATATAGTAAATATAAAGGAACGTTGGGAATAAGTGATGTAAGATAACAATTGATGCTTGCATTACGTAATACTATATCTTTAAACCAATAATAAGACAACAGTAATGTGCAATAAAACTATGTATCACTTATATTTCTAAAACATGACAACTTTGTATGTGTATTATAATTTATGAAGTATTTTGACCACAACCCTATTTAATTCTTACATAAAAGCCATAATGAAAATGTAGAGGAATTTTTATCTCCCTTCTGCCAATGAAGAAATCAACACTCAGAGAGGTAAAGGGACTCTCCTAAAAACAGTCTAGAGAATGGCAGAGCAACTCCCACTAAGCTATGATGCCCTCATGTATGTAGTTCAGTATCATATGGGGAGAGAATCTCTTCTTCCATGAATTTCAAGTATAAACTTCAAGTAAGTGTGAAGGTGTGTGAGTGTGAGTGTGTAGTGTGTGTGTGTGTGTGTGAGAGAGAGAAAAGGAAAGAGGAACAAACACTACTTTTACTTTGCACTATACCGCTATTTTTCACTGGGCTGGTTGTATAAAGACATTGCTTCAAGTGGATGAGGCTGGACCAGCAGTGTAGTAAGCAGCTGACTCACCTAATCTGCTCCGTCTAATTTCCTCTGGGGAGACAGGCCGCAGCTTTCTTTCTGCTTTGATTTCTTCTAATATTCTTTCATGGAGGCTCCGTGGCCGTGGTGGAGTGGGTTTCAGTTTTCTGGCTGAGACCTTGGAAGAAAAAAAGTAATGGCTACAGACTTGAATAGTTGTTCTTAAACAATTTTTAATGAAGTCCATTCCTACAGTATAGATAGTATTTCACTGATTGAAACATTGCCTGATAAGACTATTTTAAGCAATAGGGCGATAATTGGATTTCACAGTAATTTATCACATGTGCTCAATCAATTTTAAGGAGTCAGTTTTGCTAAGGTTATAATTATGTTCACAATATGCTACCATGATAGGCAATCAACTGAAATGTAAACTATACTTTATCTATTACTATTATTGTTTTTAAAAGTAACATTCTTAAATGTTCATTTATTTATTTGGAGGGGGGGCATGCACGAGTGCAAGCTGGGGAGGGACAGAGAGGGAGGGAGGGAGAGAGAAGCCCAAGCAGGCTCCGTGCTGACAGTGCAGAGCCCAACTCAGGGCTCGATCTCATGAACTGTAAGATTATGAACTGAGCCAAAATGAAGAGCTGGATGCTTAACCGACTGAGCCACCCACGTGCCCCTAAAAGTAACATTTTGAGTAAGTCATCACAACCTTCTTAGATTATTATTATCGTCTTTCTACTGTAAGGGCTGTAATAAGGGCTCACGGAGGCTGATTAATTTACTCAGGGACATGTAGCTACTAAACTGCACCACGACTCAGGTTGTTTTGAGTTAAAATATCCTAAGACAACCTTGTACTGCATAATTGTTAAGTATTTTTCTGTGACAAGAATGTAACTTACAGTTAGGCTTCACCATTTTGAGAATAAAAGTTAGGTGTAAAAACTACTTTGAGAGCTGAGTTCCAGAGATCACATCCTAGACAAGAGCATGTTGCTACCTTCTTCCAGCCAAGGGGAATGCCTCAGATTACATACCGGATTTAAAGGGGGTCTTGATCTGATGAAGTCCAGGATGATTTCATGAGCACTTTTTTTTAACCGAGGGGGAATATCACCATTCACCTGAAAGGAGACATAAAGTATAAGATTCATGTGACTATGGGATTATCATTATAAATTTCTGGGTACAGTGGTTATCTCAACATATGTCATAATATCACTGAAGCGTATTCTGGCTCTACCAAGGATGCATTTCAAATCAATAAAATACAGAGTAAATGGCTGAGTGATCTAGAGCAAAAATAACTATGTAGAATTGAAGAAAATAAAAGTTCATAAAATGAATCATTGGTTCTACCACTTTGGGAAAATGTATATTAGATTCATCCCTTCCAAAAAAAGTTTCTAAAATTATAAATGTGAATGGAATAAATAATACTATGGTTATTAACTATTTTATAAACTACAAAGCCTTTTACGTCTTATTTTCATCCTTGTACAAACCCAGGTAACAGAAAAGAGACTGGTGACCTGATTCACATTCTGTAGATAAAACTCACATCAAGGAGGGCATCTGCTACATTCACACAATTAGTAAGTATAAGAGTTCTGGTAGAGCCCTCACCTGTTTCAGACTCCTGCTCTAATGTCCTTTTTCTTTTTTAAATGTTTATTTTTGAGAGAGAGAGAGAGAGAGAGAGAGAGCGAGTGCAAGCCAGGGAGGAACGGGGAGTGGGGGGGGGGGGGGGGGGGGGGGGGGGGGGGGTCTGAAGAGGGCTCTGCCCTGACAGCAGAGAGCCTGATGTGGGACTTGAACTCATGGACTGTTAGATCTTGACCTGAGCAGAAGCTGGATGCTTAGCCAACTGAGCCACCCAGGTACCCCTAATGTTCACTTTTTATGTCAATGTGTTACAAAATAATTTTTTAAAGCAATTTAATAAACCCACAAAAAATGATCTAAACTCACATTATGACCACCCAAAAGGTACAGTTGTGACCATTTTGTCATATTTTTTCCCAGTCTTATATGAAAAAAATAGAATATGCTAGGCATTTTTCAGTCATGCTCCTCATGAAAGATGGATGAAAAAGATATGTTAACAAATTATAAATTTAAAAAATGAGAAACATCTTAAACTTCTCAATAATCCAAAAAATTAGCATACTTTTTACTAATGCACTGCTTGAAAAATCTCTATAATACTTTTCCCCTCTACTTTGGAGACCTACTGTTTGATTACACCATAATATTCTAACAACTTTATAATATCAATTTTGTTCGAGAGAAGGAAAAGGTAATTTCGTTATTCCTCTTGCATCAATGGTTCGTTTTTTCATTTTGATGCTTCACAACTTGTTACTGGAAATGTCACTTAAATTTTAGAATTACTGTAAAATTTGGCCCGACCTTTTTCAAGTATTTTTTGTAAGACTACAACATTTTAGGCATGAACAGTTTTCTCGTGTACTCACCAACTTTATAAATACTATTTTAATTGCTCACAAGTCATTAATTAGTTGGTTTTTCTTCACTGCAGCTGTATTTTATGAGTTGTGATTTTTTTTTTTTTTTTTTTTGGTCAATGTTGTTATTTTGTGTCCACTGAAAAATAATGTTAAATATATTTTTTTAAAAAAAGGACCTGAACTGCCACTCCCAAGCACAGTTGGATCCCCAAATGCAACCCTTCTACCTGAGTTCAGGGAGGATGACAAGCCTGTTGTGGCCCACATAGCATCCACTCTCTCCTTCCCTGGGCCATACCTCCTAGCCCTGAATGAGGCCAGGATGGCCCATGGAAAGATTTAGGAGTAAAAGCTGCTTGAACCAAGTCAAGCTTGAGACTGCTAGTACTTGGTTCAAGGAGGGCATGTCCCGTAGCAGCAGAGCTAGAGGCCTAATGTAGCACAACCCCCATCTATGGATTTCATGTTACATAAGACATTTTTTAAAATCCTTATTGTATAGAATAACCTAATGAGACTTTCCTATTAACTTCCAACTATACTCCTGAACAGGGTAATACATATCTTTCTAGCCATTTTTCATGCTTTTACTTTAATGTATACTTTCCATCACAACAGCAGGGCTTAGGGAATGGTTTAAATAAGGCCAGGGTTGTGAATTCCATTCCCTAAAAAAGTGCAGTTTCCTCACTAGTCAGAAACTGTATCCTGGATCCCAATTACAAAGTGTGTGTCAGTGCTCATGAGGTAGATGGCAGAACTTTATGGATGTGAGTGAGTGAAAATCCTTACCAGGAGGAGAAAAAGCAACTTTGTGCTAATACCATTCTGCAGCTGGCTCAGTGAAATTATACCCCTACGCATACAGAACACATACTGAAACAAGTTGTCTGAGCTGCAATGATAAATGATTCCTGGATGAACACAAATAGTAGAGCCACAAGTAAATAAGACACTTCTACAACTTGATCTCATTTTTGAGCCATGATGCCTTAAACAAAGAACTTCTAAATAAAAGGTGTTCTTTCTATATCTTCATTAAATTTTTTTAAATTTTTTTTATTTATTTTTAAGAGAGAGAGAGACAGAGTGCAAGTGGGGGAGGGGCAGAGAGAGAGGGAGAGACAGAATCTGAAGCAAGGCTTCAGGCTCTCAGCTGTCAGCACAGAGCCCAACGTGGGGCTTGAACCCAGGAGTGTGAGATCATGACCTGAGTCCAAGTTAGATGCTTAACCAACTGAGCCACCCAGGCATCCCTCTACATCTTCATTTTAAAAAGGTGAGTTATTTGAAGCTATTTGTTAGAATTAAAGCATTTTACTCAAACATTCTGAAAAAAGCCAACTGAGATGTTTTACACTTCTATAACTTAATATTCTGGATAATATCCAATATGGCTAAGCCACCAATTCCCAACATCACTACAAATGTACTAAAAACAGTGGATTACTGTGGTATGTTTGTATAGTTTAAACCTGAGGATTAAATATTTTTAAAATTAATTTTATTAAAAAAAATGCTTAATGTTACTTTTTGAGAGCAAGCGAACGAGTGAGAGTGGGGGAGGGGCAAAGAGAGAAGGAAACACAGAATCTGAGGCAGGCTCCAGGCTCTGAGCTGTCAGCACAGAGCCCCACTTGGGGCTCAAACTCACAAACTGTGAGATCATGACCTGAGCTAAAATCAAGAGTCGGATACTTACCTGACTGAGCCCCCTAGGCGCCCCTATACCTGAGGATTAAATTAAAAACATCTCAGCACTGTGCCTCATGTAAGATGGACCATGTTTGAAAACTGTTTGCTCTTTACAAAAAAAATTTTTTTTTTTATTTTTTAGAGAGAGAGGCAGAGCACAAGCGGGGGAGGGGCAGAAAGCGAAGGAGACACAGAATATGAAGCAGGCTTCGGGGTCTGAGTTGTCAGCACAGAGCCTGATATGGCTAGAACCCACAACCGTGAGATCATGACCTGAGCCGAAGTCAGATGCTTAACTGACTAAGCCACCCAGGTGCCTGTACAAAAATATTTCTTAATGGGGCGCCTCGGTGGCTCAGTCAGTTGAGCGTCCGACTTTGGCTCAGGTCATGATCTCGCGGTCTGTGAGTTCGAGCCCCACGTCGGGCTCTGTGCTGACCGCTCAGAGCCTGGAGCCTGCTTCAGATTCTGTGTCTCCCTCTCTCTCTGACCCTCCTCCGCTCATGCTCTGTCTCTCTCTCTCTCTCTCCAAAATAAATAAAACATTAAAAAAAATAAAAAAAAAAACAACAAAAAAACCCAAAAATATTTCTTAAAGAAATTAGAAACTGGCATCTACTCATTAGAATAAAAATTTTTAAGATCGAGTTTTTGAAGATTAAGTATGAGTAGTTGAATTTCTACTCTCATTTACCAGGTACATTTATATAAAATAAGGAACTATTCACACTTTTAGTCTTTTATTTATTTTTTTAATGTTTATTTTTATTTTATTTTTGAGAGAGACAGAGTATGAGCAGGGAAGGGGCAGAGAGAGGGAGACAGAATCTGAAGCAGGCTCCAGGCTCCAAGCTGTCAGCCTAGAGCCCCACAAAGGGCTCAAACTTGCAAACTGTGAGATCATGACCTGAGCCGAAGTTGGATGTTTAAGTTAGCCACACTGGCACCCCAAATTTTAGTCTTTTAGAATGAAAACTTGAAAGCTCCCCACATGAACTTAATCATACTGGAACCTCCATCTGCCCAGCTCCTTGCATAGGGACTCAGTATATACTTACTTAAGCAATTTGCACAGATTCAACCAGACAGAGAAAGACACGGAAAGGAAAACAACAATGGCTACCATGAAGTAGAAACATCTATCCATTTCTCTTCACTTCCTACCCACAATCTACAAGTCCAAAAAATGTATCATTTATACCCAGATACACTGAATGGCAAACAGAGGCATCACTGATAATTATCATAAAAAACACATAAAACTACCTGTCATTACGAAGCTCACAGAGCCCTCAACAAACAAAAAGCTTAAATAACTTGGTCTTTGAAAAAACATTATTTTCTATTTCTGTCTTAAGCAAACAGAACCACTAACAATGACGTAAGATTCCAACTAAAAATGTACAAAGCCAATCTATAGTTTATGGATTAATTTTGGGCCCCCAACCAAACTGCTTTTTCCCCTCAGCTTGGAGGTTGAACGGACAAGTAAAAATTATACATATCTAAAGTAAACAGTGTGATTATCTGATATGTGTGTATACATTGTGACTGATGACCACAACCAAGCTAATTAACACATCCACCACCTCCCATAGTTACTGATTTTTTGTGTGATGAGAACATGTAAGATGCGTAGTCTCAGCATATTTCAGCACACAATAGAGTATTAGTAATGATAGCCACAGTGCTGAGTCCCCAAAACTTACTCATCTAATGACTGAAACATATGACCTATGACCAACATTTAACCAACATCTCTCCAGTTCCCCCATCACTGAGCCCTGGCAACCTACTCTTCTACTCTCAGCTTCATCATACAAATGAGATCATATACAGTATTTGTCTTTCTGTGCCCAGGTTATTTCACCTAGCATAATGTCCTCCAAGGTCATCAATTTTTTTTTGCAAATGGCAGGATTTCCTTCTGTATTGCGACTGAATTACTATTCCATTGT